GGGGGCGTGACAGACAACATGTGGGCCAAAAAGGGGGAGCGACGAGGAAAAATGGAAAGAGGCTGGAAGAGGGGGGTAGAAATGGGAGAACAATCGCTCAGAAGGGGCAGTCAGGTGAGAAGGGGGAACGGCGGAGCGGGGAGAGATGGTCTGTGGTGAACGTAAGGAGGTAAAGTAGGGGAGGAGAGTGTGGGCGGAGGCGGAGGGGAACAAAGCGATGGGATAGGATGACGGGAATGGATGGGGGAGAGGCACTGGGGACAACACAGAGGAGAGGCGCAGACTCAATAGGGTATTCCGCGGCAAGCAAACCGGAACCTAAAGAAGAAAAGCATGACTGCTCCATCTGCTTCCCTCCGCGCGCTCATTGGCTGGCCGGCATACCAAGGTCATCGTTGACCAATCAGCGTTCAGGAGGAAACAGATCGGGCAGGCATGCTTTTCTTCTTTAGGTCCCGGTTGGCTTGCAGCGGAATACCCTATCAGACTTCTACATCGCCCCCTTCCCCCTCCCTCTCTCCCCAGCCCTCGCCCCCAGTGTTTGCAGCAAACTGTTTGCCCCCGCAGCCATAGAGGTGGTCTCCTTTGTTGTGGCTCGCAGGCTCGAGCTGGAAAGGTGTCGGTCCGCCGAGCCCCATCCCGCTCCGCCACGGCGCCATCCCCGCGCTCCATTGTCCCCTCGACTGCGATTCCCAAATTACACCCCCCCCTCCCCTTTCACCTCCCCCCGCCCCACATGGAGAGGAGCTTAGGAGCGACTAACAAGCGTCGCTGGGCCATGATCATAGCCTGCTGCTGCTGTTAATTTGCAGCGCGACCCGAGCACGCCAGTGTGGGGACCACCTCGATACACATGAAAGGGAAGGGTCGGGGGGAGGGGGTAGTGCGAGCAGGAAGCAGGAAGCCGATACCTCAGTCGAGTTGATTACCAGCAAGGAGGGAAACCGATGGCTGTGGACTGGCAATTACTACTAATGAAATCCATTACCCACGGGTCCCTCGCGCGAAGCGGTTTGTCTAACGGGCACAATCCCTTACTCCCAAGCTCTGGCGCCCGCGATTATCCGCGTGCTTCCGAAGAGGGAGGTAAATCGCAACAGACGCTTCGGGCGCAGTACAAATTCTCGCGATTTGCGGGCTCCGCACGATCGCGAGGTTGGAGATGTGACAACGGTAACGACGACGGCACGACGCTTACCTGGAGGCGCAGCAGCCGCCGTAGTCGCCCATGCGCTCGATCACGACGTCCTCGACGTCCTTCGGCCAGCGCCATGTCCCGGCGGCGAGCTCCCCGTCGTCACACGCGGGCCGACTGACCGGCGGGCGGCGCGGGGCGCGGGGCGAGCCGGCATGGCGGCGGCCGCGAGGAGTGGGGTCCCCGTCGGCGCGAGCGGGACCTGGTATCGCGGCGTCGACACGTGTTGGGCACACGCGGCTCCGGGCCGCGCGGTACGCAACGGAGGGGCGGCGGTGCGGCGAGGAGGGCGGCCCGAGTCCTACTGACACAGCGCAGCGCGCAGCGGAGTGGCGACACGCCGCGCTAGCCAGAGTCGGTTTCAGCCCGTCGCCCGCCACCCCCGACACCCCCCGCGCGCCTGCGCTGCGCCGCACACCCCCTCCTCCGGCTCGTCTTGTTTGTTTCCGTGCGGCGGCGGCGGCAGCGTTCAGTAGCGCTACCCCGCCGCTGCCGCCGCTGCTCGCTTATGGGGCGCGCGCCGCACGTAGAGCGGGGCCCAACCGGGCGACACTCGCGTGGCGTGGCGTGGCGTGGCGTGGCGTGGCGTGGCGTGGCGTGGCGTGGCGCGGCGCGGCGTAGCGGGGCGTGGCTGAGGGGGAGGGAATTCGCATGCTCGCGGCGTAATGTGGCTCGGCGTGGACCGTACGCCTGGCTAATGACGGCCGCGCGGCGATACGACAGGGGGGGG